AATATTTTTTGTTTGAACAAATATCTTATAAAAAAAAATTGTTGAATTTATGTTCATATTATCGTTTGAATGACAATGGAGTTAGTAGTAAATGTTGATTTCCTACTATAGTTTGTTTGAACGCAAATATGCTGCTTGAGCAAAAATACCAAAAAAACAACTTCATTCAATGGGACTAATATGTTTAATACCTAAGTTCAATATAATAAGTTTTCAACTTTTAAATAACTTAAAAGGCTGACATGACTTTAATTTGATAAAATGTAAATCAACATATATACGTTTTAAAGACTTTCAAACTTAAATTCAAAATCAACCAATTTTATTAGTAACTTATACAACTATTTAAACTTCAAATAATTTACAACATAATTTTGTACTTTTCTATAACCCTTATAATATTAAAAATAAACAAATTAAGATATTAAACTATGATAATTTAATATCTTTGCATTTTCAAAAGGTATAAGTTTCACAATTTTCATCAAATGACATCCTTGCATAAAATACACACTGGTGAAAAAGAATCACATATTAACCATCTATATCTTCTATCACGATGTATTACTATAAATAAAACTAACTCTCATTTGTCAAGGTTCGGTTAATTAAGCTTAAGTACATAAAAAAAATTATCAACGATACGAGCATACCATTATATTATTAGATTCATCATTATCCTAAAAGAATCATATGCAATACTCGCAATCTCCGTGCATGCAAAATCTTTTAAAACCAACTTACGAAAAAGAAAAAAAAAGATCACATTATAAAATAAATTATGATGACAAACTTAATATATTTTCCACCAAGTCCCTGATGTGGACTATAATCTACAAAAGAAGTAATAAATTATTCAAAAAATCATAGAAAAAACAAATAAAGTAAATAAACAGTATATTTAGGAATAATTGATTTTTGTGAAATAATCTTGAATTTTTTCTGTTTATAGATTTTATACTTAGTTAATAAAATTTTCATACTTTGTCTTAGTTATATTATTCTTAAATAATTATCGGGTTTTTACACAAAGCACACGATATCTTTTTATTATATACAGTTTAAAACAAATTAACACAAGAACGCACCGTATATAAATTTTCAAGTAACCACTTATTAAAAAAATCAACAATTTCAATTACATGTCTTTTTTATGTTTTTAAAATACAATTAAAGAAAAAAAAGTAAGTATTATGAAATACAAAAAGAAAAGCAAAGAATTTAATTAGTTGTATAATTTGAAATATAAAGAATGTAAAAGTTATGTATCTTTAAAGAAATTAAAAGCATTGGGATTTAACTTGTGGTTTTGAGTGATACATAAATAGTGGGGAGAATAAATTTTGACCATTAGATTTTAATCATGAATAATTAAATTAAAAAAAAAATTATTTAACACACTTAAATTTTTTATCTTCATTTGATCGTACCTTTTCTTATTTTATATTATTATTTTTTTTAAAATACAAAAATTTATACTTTTATAATCTTTTCATTCTTATATTCTGTGTCAATTACTCTAAATTAAAATATATAAAACATATAAACAGTTTAGAGTGATATTTTTAAGTGATAGTTTTTTTTTTTAAATATTTAATATTGATCATTTGTGTATAATAATAAACTCACACCTAATGACTCTTTGCGTTATGTAGATTTTATATTCTTGTTTCAAAATTCTATACTGACGAGATACGTACTTTTTTTGTCTTTTAGATTCCTATATAACATTATATACTAATTCATGATGTAAAGGAATGAAAAAAATGTTTTATTTTTCCTTAAGTGCTCTGGGTTTCCAAATATTTTAAAAATAGATTTATTTTACATATTTAATGAAGTAAGCAAAGCAGAAAACAAATAAAGAGTTAAAAAAATAAAAAATAAAAAGCTCGTTTTTTAAATATATCAAAATAAGAGATTGAAACTCTTGTTACAAAAATTAGTACAACAAATGATGAGTGTGAACTTTCAGACTAAGATCATTATACCCATTCCTATTACTTTTTCCAGATATTTTTGGTGTGTTGGTTGCTATTGGGCTTAGCACTTTCCTTCAAAAAATAAAAAATAAAAAATAAAAATAAAACTCAGCACTAGTTGAAACTACAAAATTGGCATATTAGGTAGGCACAACTATAAAAATGCTACCTATAATAATTATGTTGTGTAATATGTGGGGCTAATCAAATTAATACGTATATTTATGTAAAAGTTTGACCTCCCCAATCGTGTGTTAGCTATTTGCAAGCCACATTTTAAAGGAAAACAATTGTTTACTTCACCAAAGTAAAGTCAAATCTGATATTAAAATCCAACAAAAAGTAAGAAGATATAACTTTTGTGTCGAGTTCAGAATTTACACTAAATTTTATCTTTATTTTAGATATTAAAAGTTTCATCGGTTTAGAGATTGAAATTAGCGTTAATCTATAAACATTTTATTTTGGAGAAATTTTAAAAAATTATAATGTCGGTTTACTTTTTTTTTTTCTAGTCAAAATTTTCAAATCAAGTTTTTTTATCGAGTTATTTTGATAAATTTCTTAAAATAAATTCGAGCTTTTTAGGTAGAACGTTTTAAGTCATTTATAAACAAAATTCATTTTTGGACTGAACTATTCTATTCGAACTCCAAAACCAATCATTCATAAACAAAACTTTTTTAACCAACTTGTTCATATCTCATTTTGGATCGACTAATTACACAGAATGATATTACCAATAGTAATAACAAGTGGCCAACTATCCTGACCAAACAACATGATCAATCTATTATAATATGATAAAATTAATAATGGTAATAACAAGTTAACCTCACAATGAAGATATGAGTAGATCGACAAAAAAAAATAAATTTCATCGCAGCTACTATATGCAAAGATTTCATGTATGACTTTAAAATAACATGATACACTAATTACTAATTAGAGAGTTATCCACTTATTTTAACATAAGAGGACTTTTTATAAGTAAACCTTTAGTAAGAATTTAAACAATATTAGAAATTGAACCACTCACAACCCACAATTCACTCTATCTATAACACAACCTATTCTATACGCGATAACCACACACCTCGTGAAAGATCTCCGAAAATAGAAAACATATCAAGAGTCGATTAATATATATATTAAGTGCAATATATTTAATACAACAATTTTGAAACTAGAATATTGAGGTGGAGAAGAGCCAAACTATTTGCTAATAAAAACTAATAAAAATATTCATTAATTTTAAAAAGAAAGCGGTGAAGGGTCAGGAGTTAAAAAATATAACTGATTTGAAACTCAAGTAGTTAAAAGAAGTAACTGTAAAATATTTTACTCAGACATGATTATATAAATAAAATCAGCATTTTTGGAAAATTAAGATTTAAAAGAAAAAGTGTGTGGATATCGACGAGCAAACCCACCTGATCTGTTCCACAATTCAAATACACTTCGGCTTCTTGCCAGTTCCATCTACAGCATAGATATCAATATATGCTAAAAGACACCATTCATATTTATCCACTCATTCGGACAGAGACGCTTCTCAAATACCCACATTTGTCTACTTTAATTAACAAAATACCATAAACTAAATATTCATAAAAAATAACATGTCACGTGAGACAAAAAAAAATTCGATTAAATAAGTTTGTTTCTCTAAGCAATTTCAGTTAAAAACTAAATTTATATTTCAGTAGAACATAGTTTTAATTATTTGAGTGAGAGTTATGATAATGATAGTAGTTTAATTTAATGATGGACGAGAGATTTCAAAAAGACAGTGGGACAAAACAATTGCCTCTTTGTTAGGGGGTTAATAATTCAATTTGGAATCTATGAAATGCAATTGGTTATTCAATTTCTTGGAGACAACTAATCAGGCTACATTATTAGACTAGGAGTGTTTATTTTCTTTCCATGTTTTAAAGTCATGACTTTTTTTTCTTTAAAAAAAATTTATATTTAAAAGAGTGAAATCTCAAGTAAGTATAAACTCTTAAAAAAAGTAAAAATTTATCCATATTATAATTTAGTTTTATCTCTAATCGATACAAAACCAAACTTTTAATATGATTCTGATATCATATTAGAAAAAAATTTAAAATATACTCAATCTAAAAAAACACGAGATTTATATTTTATTTATATATTATAAATTGATTTTGATTTTATCTCGAATGACGTGAAATTTCTACCAAAATACACGAAAGTAGTAAAATTTGTGTGAGATATCCCAACATCATAAAGTTTAGAAGGCGTGGTTGGTACTGTGAGAAGAGAGAAGATAGAAAAAAAATAAAAATAAAATTTTTTGATAATACAGCGCAGCCTTTTAAATTCCTTCCTATCTTTACCATGGTTGATTGTTTGAATTTGAAATTGATTGACCTTGGATGGAAGGAAAGGGAAGTTGTACGAAACATAAATGAGTTAGTTTATTTTACTTTCATTTCATTCATAAAAATCAGTTCTGGGGTCCCCTCTTTGGGTGACTTGGCTCGCTAGCTTTTAAATTTAATCACATCTTATATAATTCTAACTAAGCATTTGACAAAGAAAAACCTTTTTAAAATTCTTCTAACTTGTTTTTTAAAATTAAATTATATATCTATAAGGAAAGAAATAAATAATTGAAAGGCTTCCACGACAACAGAGAAAGGTCACCCACTTTAAAAGAAACCCAATGCCACATGACAAAGGGACCTAAAGAGAAAAACCTAAACAAGTAAGAGAAACAATAATGAATAAAGTGATAAACAATTCCATATGAGCCCAAACACAAATCTGGTGAGAAGAAAAAATCAAACAGAATTCTCTGAATAAGAACAAAATGATTCAAATGAAACTGGTTTTAATATTGACTTTAATTATTATTATATCGTGTTAATAAATATAATATTGATTGTATAATTAATGAGAATAATGAATGAGCAGAGTGGTAAACGAGTAAAATGAGGAAAAAGCAGGGACAAAGATGGAAGAAGCAGAGTTATACATACATAAAAGTGTGAAACGGCACAGTGTCTGCCGTTTCCCGATAAGCCCGGTGATTTTTGGAACAATCTCTTCTTCTATGTTCTTCTTCGCCTTCCTCTTTTCACTTCATGTTTCAGGTTTCGGCTTAACCCACTTTCAGTAGAGGTTCAACTTCGACCCTGTACTCGTACCTTCACCATAACCACAATTTTCTTTCACCATCCAAACACTCCTTTAGAACATTCTTCTGTCGCTCTTCTCTCACTCATTCTATAACGCCGGTTTTATGTTTCCATGTGCAGAGAGAGAAGCATGTGTGAGAGTAAACCGAGCTCAAAATTCAGCACCAAAACATGCTTATGAGCTCTGGTCTTGGATTTAAGGTTTTGTCTTGGACACAAACTTCTTTGTTTCGAATAGAGGAAAAGAAAACAACGACAAAAAAAGCTCAACTTTTTTCTTCTTCTTTCTTTACATTTCAAGGTGCACTTGACAAGAAAGCATGACCATTTGGAAAATTCAACAATTCCTGAAATAACACAACAAAGGTCTATTACTCTCCTAACCTTTTTTTTTCTTCGTATTTATACTGTTTTAATGAGTCTGAATTTCTTGCAAATAATGAAAGACTGTTTTTTTCTGTTGACAAAACGGTGGAACTGATCTGAAAATGCAATAATGTGTTTTAATGAGTTGATATTTGCAGGTTCTTAATTTCATTTTCCCTTTTGGTTTTTGTTTCATTGATGGAACTCCAGGTTCACAGATCTGTGAGGTGTGAGAACGACAACCTCAGGCCTTGTTTTCTTTTCCCTTTCTATTCTCCAGACCTCAACACCTTCCACAAAACCCGATCCAACAATGTTCAAAGTAACAAGCCTCGACCTCTTTAATTTATGCTCAAGAGTAATTGCAGTTTCCAAACTACACGCCTCAATGAAAAAGGTTATTGTGGCTTCTAATGAGATTTCGTAATGTCTGCTAATTTTAAGGACAGGAGAAAGCTATAAACAAGCAGATACAAGGCGAAGCCAAAAGGAGTTTGGTGCAGATCCGCGACCCATTTGCAAAATTTGCTGCTTTAGCTTAAAAACAAAGCGCGAAGACTTGGATCAAAGGTAGGTACATATATACAAATATGTAGGAGTTTCCAAGCATAATTTGTGTTATACCTTTTCTTAAAGTTTCATGGTTTTTAATAAAACGTTTAGGCTTATACCTTTTAAAGTGCTGAGTGTTAAGCAACATGGTCAGACTCAGATCCTATCTGCTGTGTAATAAGTGAACCTGAGAATGTTCTGATGGCTTTATTTTATTTTATTTTTATAAACAAGTACAAAATAAATAAACTTCTCTTGTTTTGGGGATGATGGTAATAATTTTAATTTAATTTTTTTTTGTTGTTGTTGTGGGTGTGGTGTTGCTTTTGGTTTGCAGGAGGCGAGGCTGTGGCTCTGCGACCTACTCAGTCTTTTGCTTTTGAAAGGCTTTCTTTTCCTTCTGCGATTGGGAAAAGCTTTATCAAGGGCTTCTGACTTGGACCGCGATTTATCGGTGCGTAAATAAAAGGCCTTTTTATCACTACGCGGCCAAAGTACTCTCTGATTCTGAATCGTAGTCATCAATGCAAAGCACATAGCAACAACAAAAACCCCACCCTCTGTGCACTCTCTCATCCATTGGCACTTTGACTCTATTTTTCTTTTCTTCTCTCTCCAGTACTTTCCGTGGGATAAGAGAACAAGAAGAAGACCAAGTGGGGTGCGTAGCTTGGAAAAAAGCCGTGTCTGTGATATGGAAGAGGATGAGATTCAAGCACAGGCAGTGTGTAAGTTCCCTAGAGTTGGAAATGGACGGAGCGACCAATACCAAGAGGAGGAAGAAGAGGTAGACATAAGAAGAAGAGGTATTGGTGGTGGCGGCGGCGGCGGTGGAGGAGGAGGAGGAAGTGATGCCAGCACAAACCATTTCCAAAGCAGCTGGCACCACTCTTCGAGAATCATTAGGGTGTCTCGAGCATCTGGTGGCAAAGACAGGCACAGCAAGGTGATGACTTCAAAGGGGTTAAGAGACAGAAGGGTTAGGCTCTCGGTGACCACTGCCATTCAGTTCTACGACCTTCAAGATCGCTTGGGTTATGACCAGCCCAGTAAGGCTGTGGAGTGGTTAATCAATGCTGCTTCAGATGCTATCTCAGAGCTTCCTTCTCTCAACAACCCCTTCCCTGATACCCCTAAGCAGCCAAGTGACGAGAAAAGGCCAACCAGTGGTCAACGTGGGGTTCAACCACAGGCCTTTGATGATGCAGATGGAGACACCAATTTCCTCCACCAGAGCCAAAACCAAAGCCAGAACCTCTCTCTCTCCAAGTCTGCTTGCAGCAGCACTTCCGAGACAAGCAAGGGTTCGGGCTTGTCCCTCTCTAGGTCTGAGATCCGTGTGAACCGTGTGAAGGCAAGGGAGAGGGCAAGGGTAAGAGCTGCAAAAGATAAGGGAAAAGATAGGGACAAGGAGAAGGAGAAAGAGAAAGAAAACGAGTCTGGCATTGCACACCACCACCACCAACACCACAATGTAAACAACCCCAACCATATGTCTCACACTGCTTCCTTCACCGAGCTTCTCACCGGTGGGATTGGGAGCACAGTAACGGTTAATCCCACGACCACAGCAAGTCCTAATGGATCATCTGTTCATCAGATCCATGAAGGTCATGACGAGGCCAATATATTCAACAAGGGAAGACAACAACAACAACAACATTGGTCTTCGACAGTGACACCTATGGACTACTTCAGCCAAGGAGGCCTCTTGGTGGGACCTTCATCATCATCTGCAAGAACTCAACACCAACACCAACACCAACATCAATCTTCTTCAGGACAGTTCCAATTGGGACACGCCCTTCCCATCTCACCATTCAGTGGAGAAAACCACTCGGATCAGATGCAGCATTTTTCGTTCATGCCAGACCACCTTAACATGCCGGCCGTGGTGACTTCTTCTTCTTCTGCTTCTCAACCCAGCGGGGGTGACAATTACAACCTCAACTTCAGCATCTCTTCGGGCCTTGCTGGTTTCAATAGGGGGACCCTTCAGTCCAATTCTCCGTCCTTTTTGCCTCACCTCCAGAGGTTTCAACCTTTAGACGGATCATCCAATCTACCTTTCTTCATCGGAGCTCCCGCTCCTTCTTCTGCTCCTCCAACCATTGACAGCAACAACAATAACAACCACCACCACCTTCAGTTCTCTCCCGTCTTCGATGGCCGCTTGCAACTTTGCTATGGCGACGGAACAAGGCATTCTGACCACAAGGGCAAGGGAAAGAACTAAGTTCCCCAGGAACACCACGTTTATTTTCTTCCTGGTAAGACAAAAATAAACTCTCCTCATCTTTTTCTTTCCTTTTCCTATTTCGTTCTTGTTTTTGTTCGGTACATAGTAGTTGATTTTGCTGTCATTTTTTTTCTGTTATTGTTTTCGATCGGTGCATAGTCCTTCCTCGTATCGACTATCATTCTATGTTTTGTTTTAACATCGATTAAAAAGGACTAGTAGTTTCATAAAATGAACATTATTATTACCGTTGATTATTGCAAACGACGTAGTACAATAAAGATATATTATATTGAAAAGTATAAATAAAATGTAACCGATACTAATTAATTTTAAAATAAAACAACAGTTAGACTTTATTTTCGTCTTAAACCATATACTTATTATATGACAGGAGCAGCAGCTAATTAGCTGTCATTTTTTTCCCTTACTCGTCGATATGTTTATGCATTGCCACTTGTAAGCCTTTGAGGATATTTAATAATGTGTGTGTGTGTGTGAGAGAGAGAGAGAGAGAGAGAGCGTGTGTTTGGTTAATTTATTTAATGAATTTGAAAGAGGGTGGTCATGGATTGATGTGTTGAATGAGTGCATTGTGCAATACCAGGAGCCGTTTGCTTTCTTGGTAAGCATAAACAAGTTGGGCAGAGAGCATAGTTATATAATGGGATGCTATCCGTTTATATTTTTGTCTTACTGGTGCATGAATTGGCGTGAATAGCGTTTCCACTGTTTGTCTCCTTTTTTGTTCTCTGCTTCTCCTTGGTTCCCTTTCTCTCTGGCATTGGTGAGTCCGTGCCAAGTGTAGCTTTTTATTCTGGTAAATACAACAAACACCATGTGTGCAGTAGCAGCTTAATCACTTTTCTGCCAAAACCAAAACAAAAAATGGCTTTAAGATCCCAATTCAATTTTTCACTCCCCAACCCTGCACTGCACATGACACGTCCCACAATTTCACTCCCCAATCGCATTCTCACCTTCTCCCACCAACTTCCTTCCATTTCGATAGCAAAACCACTCGTTTATGACCTTTTTCATCTACTCAAACAACCTCCATGCATGTCCCACAACTTTTCACCCTTCAACCACAAACCAACTCATGTATATAATACACACACATGCCTACTATCTGTTGCTATGTAAATAGTCTTTTACTGTTCTTTCACCCTAACCGAGAAAAATATTTCATTATTTTATTTTTACTGCAATTTTAAGTAATTTGCCTATCATGCCCCTTTTAGTTTTTTCTTTCCAAACAATTTCCAATGCATAATGAAATGAAAAACAAGTGTATATTTGGGAAAAAAATGTTATCTTGAAATTTTAAAAATGACATAAAAAGAACAATTTTTCCTTAAAAATGACTGTTATATAATACAGAGGGACTTCCAACAAAAATGGGGGAGGTATATCTATAATTACAAGTGTGTTTAAGTAATGCTGACTTTAAGAAAAATTTATGTAAAAATGTAGGTGACATACCATGAATGTTATAAATGTCCTTACCTGTGTGTGAGTGTTTGGTTCTTTTCCTACATTATTATATTAAATTTACGTTGTATGTTATTGGTAGCACTCATTTGAACACAAATGACACGTCATTATTGGTTAATGATGTGTTAGAATTGAATTAGAATAGCACATTAATGCTTTTTACGATACACTCTCTTCTTTTGAAGTTATCTCTGATTGAACAGCATATTTTCATTGAAAAACAATACTATTAACTTTAACTTTCCTTTTTTTTTTTTGTATTTTTAAAAGTATTATGTGCATTATGCACACATAAAATAGACAGTGTACAAATTTTCAATAAAAGAACATATATCAACGTGCAAAAATAATATATAAAATCAGAAACAAATGTAATTTTAATTGCAAGTATAATTATCACTATCTTTAAGGAGTCGATGCAATTAATTCTCTTGACATAATGGATGTATATAATTACTGGATGGCAAAGTACTACTAATGATACATTGGAACAATGAATTATTGGTTTAGAAAAGAAAAGGGACAATGAAGAATTTAGCATAGATTTTTATCAGAATTGTGCTACTATAATACATTACTTCTTTTTTTGTGAGGATAATTATGTTTAGAGATGCTTTTAAATAGATAGTATAGCGAGGTTAGAGAAGAGACAGAAGGATAATTATATTTTGTAAACTGTGATTATAATTTTGGTAGTATGAATAAGAAACGTGCCACACCTCATTCCTTCCAGGCATGGTTCAAATCCAAAATTCCATTTCTCTAAAATCTTTTATTTTAGATTAATTTCTAGGACATTTCTATCAAACTAAGAATTGAGAATAAGTTATTTTGAATATATCTTTCTTGTCTCAGCCAAAGATTATAATAGAACTTATGAGTAACCAATATAATGCAAATTTAGTGTTTAAAGTCCCTGGTATGTGACAACTTTTTATTTTTAGTATGTAATAAATTAGATACCAAATAAATTATAAAATTTTGGTTTAAGTCTTGGAAAAAAGAAAAGTATATACACGTGAACAGTAGAACCGACTTAGGTAATATAGGGGATTTAAATAAAAATATTTAATTTATTAGGTACCTAATTTGAAAAAAAAAAGTTATTGCGTACTCCAAACTAAAATTGAATGTGTATTATGGGGACCTAAACCTTGTTTAAGTATTATTAATACCTCAAAAGATGAATCTATAATTCTCAACAGGTTGAAGATTCCAAATTTTAAAATATGATTAAATTCTAGCATTTAAGTAAATGCAAAGGATTGAATTAAACTTCAACCATTTTATAGGATGATAAAAAAGTAGTCATTAAATAACCATCCTAATAAATAATAACCCGTCAGTGAACACATCTAATACAAAGGAAAACAAATAAAATTATTTTCAATACTTTAAGAACATCATATAAAATTATTATGCCCATCTAGTCTCTTTCTTTTGGGTCTCTTTAGAGCCACCCTATCATTTTAAATAAGGACCTTGTCCTCAGGGCTGAATAATACCAAAAAAAAAGAAAACAAAATGACTTAAGGATTTTATAGGATTATCTTAAAATATTAAAATCAGTATTTATAGTATAATTTAGTTTTACTGTAATTTCCTTTATTATATTCTGTACAGGGGGGAATGAGAAATAGAAATGTAAAACGTAATACAAAAAAAAAGAAAAAAACTAATTTGTAGTGGTTAATGCACACGACATAAGGATATGAGCCCTATTTGGCTTGTTGGTTCATAAGGTTTAACCAAGTTGATGGATATATTTGACATTTAGGTTATATCATACAAACCTTTTTTTTCTACACTTAGTCTTTTGTTTTGTTTTATATCTCAAGGTAATTTCTAAAACGAAATAGGAAACGGGGATTTTTTTATTGTGTAGTCATTGTTTTTCAATAAATGAAATGTGCTCTTAAATATTTTTAGAATAAAGTTCAAATGTATCATTTAAAATTGTAGAGAAGAGAGTGAGTAACCACAGATTAATTTTGAAAGATATCCATGAAGAAAATATGTATACAGAACAGTATAAAGAATTTGATATCAAAATCAAATGCTCCTTGAGCTTGAAACAGTAAAATTGTTTATTGAGCATACACTTTGTCTCAGCAAGAATGAGCATGCTAATTGTTTTTACCAAAAATCAAACATCTTTGGACCAAACTCTCAATGGGCTAAGATCTTGAATCTCTTGAGGTATGAGGTGAGTTGTGGAGAACACCAAAAGGAGGGTTACTTAAGAATGACGTTCAAGTCACTAAGCGAAAAAGAGAATTATGAGTATGTAAATATGAATATTGTAAGAGTAAGTCTCCCTCTTATGGGAATGTTTTTATATAGCTTTGTCTCTTGGTTAATGATATAGATCTTATGATGTTGTAACCAAATCGGTGGTATCTTCCGCTTATGTTCAATAATCTGTGCACATGATGTAATCTTCACATATATGACAACCTTGTTGCAGTGCTAAGTGTGAACTTTAACCGAAGTACTGATACAATTAATCTTAGTTAGAGTTCGTTTTGAAATGAATGGAACTAGGAGTTGGATCACTTCAAGATACTGATTCTTCTATACAGATTGTTTCTTATTTAGTATATGGCTTTAGGCCCTGTAATGTATTTAGATTGGATCATCGTTGCTCTTTCTCACTTTTCATTAATTTCCTTTTCTTTCTTCATGACTATAGTTATTTGTTAGTAAAAGGGTGAATTATAACTACAGATTTTGACCCAATTGACATCAGCCTCAAAAGGATAGAGAAGTTAGTATGATGATTGAGATCTTTACTCTTACCTACCTCGACTTAAGTATGAGTTAGGAATAGATGTATTACACATATAAGTTTCCGATAAATGAAGCAGTACAATTTTGAAAAGCCTCAAATATTGTTCACAGATGTTTGATGTTTTGGATTTTGTGTTCTGGAGAAGGGCAGAAATTTTTTTGATCAGTATTGATCAGGGCAAGAAAGTGATTCACTAGTAAGCAATGAAGGATGTGATGTTTTAAGTGAAAGAAATTGGTTAAGGAAATGGAAAGTTTGGAACTGAGTGGATTCAGAATATCACATTATAGAAGCAAGAAGAGAAAAGTGGATTCATGCTGAAAATTTGGAATTTGCAACAAAAAAGTGTGCTATTTTCTCAGTACCGTAAGAACTGTATTCCTAACCATTTTATATTATAATAAAAAGGCGATAGATTCAAAGTATAGACAGCTGAACAGAGAAGGACAAGGGAATAGCAGAAATTTCTGTTCAGTTTAAGGTGTCTTTGTTTATTCAGCACATCTTGCCATAACTTGAGTCACTGACCTTGCTGGTTGAATTTTGAGTTTTGGTTTTATGCCATATATATATTTAAAAGGTCACACATTTTTATAAATTGAACTCCAGGTTGAGACTGCTCTACTGATCATACATTTCTAAATTATGATAAACTGTTAAGTTTTGTAAGTTACTATTCATTGATATTTGCATACGTTGTGAGTCACTGTTTTCCAAATTTGATGTGGAGGAGTTAAGTTAGACATAGGGAAATGCATATTATGTGTTGTTAGCCAAAAATCTCTACTTTCCATAATCATAATGAAACTTCTCAGTTGTTTTTTATTTACATTTTTGCAGGGATTGTGGTCTTTGTTTTTTGTAGGAGCAGCAAGTTGTGTCCCCAGCTTCGCTTCTGCATAATGGAGGATAAGTTGCTGTCATCAAGTATTGTTGGTGTTTTTTTTTGGATAATTTTGAGTCATTCAATTACACTGAGTATTTGGATATCTATTAAGTTATGCAGCGTGCACAGTACTTTGTTATGGATAAATGTAAAAGAATGTTGCTTGAAGATATTTTCATTTTCTAAAATATTGATTCTGAAGTTGCTTGTACCGTTTGGTTGGGAAGATCTGTAGGAAACTAAAAACTTCAAATTTCTAGTGCCCTTTCCCATGGCACACTTTTATAAAGGATAAAAAAAAATTCTTTTGGCAACCATCAATATTTTTCTTCCCTAAGACTTTTGCTTCTGATTTTGGTGAATACTTGTGTTCGTATGAATAGTTGTTATAGAGAAAATTAAGAACTTTTTGAGGTAAACCTTTTTGGATAAAGCAATTTGTAAAAGTTATTTATTATTAGCTTTTCAAAATCGTATTGTTTTAACCTATGTTAATTTTGACTTATAAAAAACTTAATTTTGTTTGTTATTTAGAAATTTGGCTGAAGAATCCTTAATATCTTTTTTGTAAATTTGGCTATCTTATTTTTCTGACTAACTATATAAAAATTTAAATTATATTGATGAAATTAATTTTAATTTTAAATATAACAGTTTAGTAAATAAATAAAAATTATAGTACATGTATATGTTCCAATAATAGTTATTTTATTAAATATGTCAGAAGATAAATTTAACCTAATTCATTTATGTTGAACGTAAAATAAGTCAAGAAAAAAACGTTAGGTGGTTAAGTAATCCTTTTTTTTTATTTGGCTTAATTTATTTTACAGACTTTTCCAAGTTACTACATTAAACCAAACCTGTTTTAAATTGCTATACAAACAACATTAACCTAAATTAGGACTACGATACAAATATTTTTTTTTTTTGTAAAATGCTCCAAAGTTTGCTAAAAATTACAATCTTTGATTTCTCTTTCGGAAATATTTAAATCTTACTAATATTTCTGCTTGTTAGATAAAAAAAAAACATTGATCATTTATTAAGTTTCCAAACAACTAAATATATATTTGTTTTTCTTTAATGTTTTCTCTATAAAATGTTGAAAAAAATAGGATATATCATTATTCTTCTTGTCTGTCTTGCACATGTCAAATTCAATTGGTAATGGATTGATATTATTTTGTAAATTATAGAATTTCGTGTTGTAAACGAAAAGTAAGAAAAAAACTGTCAACACTTAACTAAGAAAAATGAATAAATACTATTTTAAATATGTGTAATTATTTTTATAAAAAATTTAAATGTTATATGATAAGAAGTTATTGTTTAGGTGGAAATTTTGAAAAAAAAAGTGAAATTTAATAAATTTATGATAGTAATTTGATTATTTAAAAGTTATAAAAGTTTTATATTTCAACAAAATAACTTAAAAGTTTTTTACATTCTCGCTTCTTTCAAATTTATATATTTTTCATATGTTATGTTTGACTTGATCCTATGCAGGGTATTTTTTTGTTTAATTTAGTAAAACATTAATCGTTCGTCTAAGGTCAAATTTCTATTAATATTGGCATATGTTTCTTTTAAATTAAATTTAATTGTGATTTTTTTTTATCTTATACTACTTATTCCCCATAAAGTTAAACTAAAGTTTCCTTAAACCAAATCGTTATGTTATGATTACCTTATACCAGCTTTTGATTTTTTGAAGTTCCACAGAACTGGATTATTATTAATGATTTAGAAACATACGTGTTTACTTAGTAAAGGGGTGCATTTAACAACTCTCATTTTTTCTAGTCCAGAATCACCCGAACAGGGAAGAAAAGCCCACGCGGGAAGGCGATGCAAGCCCAATAACAAAATCCGAAATTTAGATTGATTCCTGGTAATTGATCACTCAAACCATTTTTGGAACTGAAATTCTGTGTTTCTTCTATATTACACAAGTAGAATTATAGACTCTCCATTCTGTGTACCTTTCTTGGCCCTTGAAAAGTGGATTTGAGATCATTTTCGATAAATAAGGAGTTATTGAAAGTGTTTCCTGCAAAGTATGCTCTGAAACTTCAAAGTTAACTCTGTAAAATAAAATTTACGTCTACTTATACAATATAAAATGAATTTATATAATATGAACTTGATCCAAACAAAGAGTGTCATTGCTGTAGAAAGATAAATAAATCCAATTTCTTTGGTGTGTGAAGATGAGAAGCAAACGATATTATTCACTTTAAAATGACAAAACATATCAGAGGCACTTTAGCTTATAAAGAGGGAAAAGAAAGGAAGAGGCTAGAGATACGAGCGAATTTTGTAAGCAAAATTGAGTGTTACTTTTCAAAAGAAGCCAAGAGAAATATTATAAGAAATCTTAGCAGATGTTAATAAAATAAAAGGCATGAATACATGAATTCATGACCCTGCAATGACATGAAAGAAAAATAAAGATGCAGCTTTGAATATGCATCTACCCATTTAATTAATTGCTTGAGACCCTAAAGGTCAAACGAGAAGCTCCTACAGACAGCAAACCAGAACAAAAGGCCAAAAGCAGAAAAAGTTGAGGAGTTTCATTTGGAGGATGCAAGTGCCACCTGAAAATGCTCCAAAATGCTAGTGTGATGATGCAAAACAGTACAATAATTAGATAATCCTAAAGACAGTATACATAATTCTTGCTTTTTTTGATTAGTTTATATTAATCATGTCTTGTCCAGTGGTTGAGTCCCTCACTGTCACAAACTGTGCCGGCATAAATATTAGCATGTGGGGGCTTCTTCACCATTTGCTGTGTCCTATATTATTCCTCCACTTGGATGCATCTACCCTTGCTAAAGATCAGTAGGGTAGAATAAAATAGAAGGAGACATGTTGAACCCTAATTGTATATAAAATCAGCAATGCATGATGCTTAATAAGAAAACAAAGGAATCATGAGTGGAACATTATGGAAAAACAAAGGCTTATGAGTGCGCAAAAAGACCTCTTTCTTGCATGGTAAGGTTGTTGGAAATACAGTTACGAGTCTAAGTCTCAGATTGATAAAAATAAAAAAATTAAATATTATATAAAAATAAAAAATCTATTAATACATTAATTTAAGATTTTTGATAAAAAATGGTGTTAATTTTTTATATATAGTTTTACCCATGTTATCTCCCTGAACTAAGAAAGGTTCTGTTCAATGAGTCACAAACTCTAGACCTCATTTCACGTGGATTGTATATGTGTGCAAAGGTATAAGGTACATCATGTGACAAACAGATAAAGTTAGAAGAAGAAACAGCTAAGTACGTAATAAAATAACACATGTTATGAATCATTGTTTGTTAGAGAAGAAAAACTCTAAGGAGATAAAGGTTGGTTCTTGGAAGCACCCTTTCCTTGCTCTGTCATCACAACTGTAATGTGTCTGCAATTTCTGATAGCTATGGGATTTAAGTGCCCAATCGGGTAAAAATTATGACAAAATTTTCAGAGCATTAATTTGCTTTGAAAATACAGAGGAACATCTTTTTCCTGCGAAGTTCTTCGGTCAAAATCATATTATTAAGTGTAATTAAGACAGAATTGACAAAAACGTCTTTTCTCCCAAGTCTGGATAAAGGCCGTGAAGCGAAGTTAAAGCACAATGTTTTTCGTTGAAGCGTTCCTTTTTTTTAATGATTGGAAAATTGTGGAAATGGAAAAAATAGTATTACTTTTGCAATTCTTAAAAGTTTGGGACCCAAAAGAAATGACAGTGATTTTTTTTAATTAAAGAAATGAAGAAATGAAAAACAAAAAATTAAAAATGATAAAGAAATTTGTTGAAACAAGAGAAAAGAGACTTATTTTTTAAAATTGGTGTGAGACATATATTTTTATAGTTTTTAGTATTGTTAATAAAACTAACTCAATTTGATAAAACCATGTTTACACAATGTGTAAGTTATGACTCACCTTGAGTTGATTACATAATTTATTTACATATTTTAAATTGATCTTATATTTAATTGAGGTAGAACTTTCAAAAAAATCATTAAAAAAATAATGTTTTTGTTAAAATAAAATATTAAATATTAAATGAAAAAAAAATCTACTGTTGATATACAAACAAATAAATAGTTGTCTAAGGTTAGACTAAGTTCAAAGTTTTGACTTAAGAGTTCTGTGATGAACCAATCTTTTAGATAACATTAGTCAATGGTAAAATTAAGGATTTTTGTTTTGAAAAGGAAAAAAAGAAGAAGAGAAACATTGTGTGGGAATCATATTTCACACCTTACTGGTGTAGTATCCAAATGCAAAAGCTACTAATAACTCTTTCATGGGCAATATGGTAGATTTGGACATTGCTCATTTATTAGTTGACCCTAGTCAACTTTGAATCATTGATTCAACAACTTCATTCATGATAGGTTAGTTTGAATTAATCAGACCTAAAATAATTTCGAAACACTATGAGATTTCATATAAAAAAATAAAGCAAGAACAGTGGATGTAGTTTCTCTCATCTTCTAAGATGGGCCATGTCTCTCGTTACATTGATGATTGAATGAAAGAAATGGCATGGAGGTAAATATTAGATAAGATAAAACATAACTATGACAACCTCATCCTAATCCATTGTACCCATGATGTAATAGAATGGAAACTTGTCTGCTTAGACAATGACTAATTCAATTATAAAACATAAGACTCCACCTTCTTCAACTTCCATACTGCTTCAATCTCATGTTCTCCAATGGTTATTTATTCTGACATCTGAGAGTGACATTTCTTTCTATACCGCACCATACTTCACCTCAAATGCCCTTTATTTCGTCCTAACTTTATTCAAACATATCTTTATAATACACATTAATTTTGTGTCTGCTTTGACCCATTTCTAGGTAAAGACAAGCCAATTTATTATTCTATTTTTTTTTCTTTAATAATAATATAACAGATTGGTTGGAAGGAGAGAAGAGTGAATGTTTAGACAATACAAAAGAAAAAAAAAAGACATTTGATTTTGTAGTTCTCTTACACAGATCAGTGTAATTCGATAGAAGAAGTTATAAAAGGAATCGTTTTGAAGCTTGAAGTTTTAGAACTATGTTTGGGGGGTTGAAAGAAAAGATCTTGGAGGATAGGAAGGGATATTTGTGAAATGGGTGGTAGCTGTTGAGTTAAATGATTAGAAATAAAGTTCTCA